AGTTAGTGAAAGAGAACCGGAGGGAAGATAAGGAAGTACTGCAGCGGTTCTCAACCTTCCTAATGCCGTGACCCCTTAATACAGTTCCTCATGTTGTGGTGACCCCCAACCATAAAATTATTTTCGTTGCTACTCTATAACTGTAATTTTGCTACTGTTATGAATCGTCATGTAAATATCTTTTTGTTTTCCGATGGTCTTAGGCGACCCCTGTGAAAGGGTCGTTCGACCCCCAAAGGGGTCGCAACCCACAGGTTAAGAACTGCTGTACTAGAGGAAAACAGATGGGGAAGGACTAGAAGGAAGAAGAAGAGAGAAATGGAGGGAAATGAAAAGGATAATGCCAGAGATGGAAGGGAAACTATAGAGGAAAGGAGGAAAGGGAGAGGAGTAAGAGAGAGGCAGAGGAGGAAGAGAAGGGGCGAGAGGGGGCATGGAGACAGTGTGACAAGCCTGAGAGTGGGCCTTTTCTGGAAACAGGGACAAGGTTGTAGGGGAGGCGTTCCTTTCCCTTTCCTGGGCTAACTGGACCACCGTGCTCCCATGGGCAGCAATCTCCTGGGGGATGTATTCTGCCTCAGCACCAAGAGGACAACTTCCAACAAAACCCAGGTGGCAGGTGCCCAGCAGTAGGGAACCGTTGGGGTATGAGCATCTTTCAACCCCACTCACTCAGCTCATGGGCCTGTTCAGGGCTCTGTGGACACAGAAGGTGAGCTGTAAAATACAAAGATGTGGAGACTTTCAGAGCTGGGCGAGCTCACCTCTTGTACTTAAGCTGTCACCCATCCTCCCTGTCCTGTCAGCCCTGGGGGCCTGGTCCCACTGTCGCAGGATTGGGCGGTGAGCCTGGTGAGCCGGAAGGTTCTGAAGGAGAAGCCCAAATTACAGAGGCGAGGAGGGGGCCTTGTCCAGTGGCTTCTTCACCCTGGACACACTTTCAGAACCCCGTCCCTCCAGCCCCTCCCGGACCACTCCCAGAACTTGGTCATCATGCCCAGAGCCCAGCTTGGCCTGTTTTGTAGCCAGTGGGAGCCTGTTGGGCCACAAGCTCTGCCTCTCCTGGTTTCTGTATCCCAGAACTCAGGCCCAGATGGAGGAACAGTGACTCGGACACTCCAAGCGGCAGAGAGAAAGGCATTGCGCTCCTCATTTTCCAAATAGAGTCACTGAGGTTTGGAGAGCCAGCATGCCTCGTCTGGGGGCCTGTGGAGCAGATCAGCCTTTGAGGCCTAAAGAGGAGGTGGCAATAAATAAATACAAAAATAAACAAATAAATAAATAAATAATAAAGAGGAGGTGGCAGAGCCACGCTGCTCTGCCTCCAGCTCCGCCCTCTACCTCAGCCTGCCTGCTCCAGCAGAGCCCTGATCCAGGCCTGCCCTGTAATCTACCCACACACCCGCCTGGACTCCAAACACCCTCCCGATGGAGTCCCACCCCTCCCACCTGGGCAGGCCCACATCAACTCCCAGCTCCAGACCCACACACTCATTCCACAATCATCTCACCCGCTCTCTGTCCCCAGGAGCTTGCCACCCTCCTCATCACTCCCTCTTCCACAAAACCTGGAGTCAGACCACCCCATCCTCCCCCATTCTCACAGCAGTGCAGCCCCTGCATCTGATCATGCCTCTCCCCTACCTAAAAACCCTTCAATGGTCCCTACCTCCCCGTGAGACATAGTGCACACTCCTCAGTGTGACATTCAAGGCCCCTTTGTACTTTTCTGGCCTTATCTCTGCCCCCTCCCCTGCCCCACAACACCCTCAATGCCTTTCAGCCGCACAACTGAATTCCTGTCCTGCAAGTCCCCACACAGGTGGGTACAATGCAGCCCTCAGAGCTCCCATAACCCTCTGTGCTTCCCCCTCCAAATGCTTGTCTGAATCCCCTCTAGGTGGGCAGGACCCAGTCAATCTTTGCCAAATGATTACCCTCAGCACCTGACACACTGCTCAGCTCCTAGCAGGTGTTTTATAAATACTGTAGACTCTATTTCACTGAAGGTGCGTCTGGCTCCCCTCTCTACCAGTGTGGGCCAAGGAAACACTCGGTAGGGGTGGGGTGGCTGGAGTTCTGTTTCCCCTCAGACCTCACCCCTGTGCTCCCTCTCTGGGAACTGAACCTGCCCCCTCTCCATGGGGTTCACAAGTGGCAGCAGGCTCACTGCAGTACCTGAGACTCCAAGGACTATCCCTGGGAGAGTTGGCTTGACAGCCTAGCTAGAAAGTTGGGGGCACAACTTGTCGACACAGTGCTCCCTGCATACCTTAATCTCCTCAAACAATGTAAGAGCAATGGTTAGCCAAGAGGGCCTAGATACCTTCCCACGCCTGCCTGCAGGTCTGCAGAGCCACCCAGAGGCCCCAAAGGGTGACATCACCCTCTTCTCAACAGCTTTCCCAGGTCCTTCACTTCCTGAAATGGCTAGAACAGGGAGAAGATGCATGTGGGCCCTGCCCTTGGAAAGTCACCAAGCTGGAAAGTGAGGAATGAGCCTGTCACTCAAGGCCCAGACAGACCCAGGGACAAAGCCAGGCCAGGAGGCAGGTAGACATGTACTCTTGGATGACAAAAGCAACACAGTAATAATGGCTACCCCTCATTAAGCACTTACTAAGTACAAGACTCCAAGCTAAGCAATTTATAGACGTTTTCTCATTTCATCCTTCCCATAAGTCTATGGGTTAGGTACAATCTCTAATGGAAAAAGAAATTCAGAGAGATCTAGAAATCTGTGCAGCATTACACAGCTAACCAGTGACGGAGCTAAACTGCAAATCCAGGTCTGCTAGCTCCAAAGCCCTGCCCTTTCTACCCCATGTCATGGCCACCCCAAACTCTAGGTGGGGGTCGTTACTTCTCTTCCAAAAATGGCGTGAGGGCTCCTCACTGCATAACCTCCCCCAGTCGCATAAGCTCTCCCAGCTGAGGCTCTCCACAATCTGGCCCCTGCCTGCCTTTCCGCTGTCGCCCCCACCCACACCCACCACACATCAGATTTCCATCTTGCCATTCTCCAAGTCCAGTCTTCTGAGCTTAGCTTTTGCTGTTCACTCAGGCTCGAACACCTGCCCCATTTTACAGATGAGAAAACAGAGGATTAAGAATGTTAAGTAACTAGCCCAAGGTCACGCAGCCACCAGGAAACAATTGAGCCTGTTTAGAACTCGGGTCATTAGAACATCAAGTAATAAAACATTAATTTGTGTTACAGACAATTAGAGAATGGGAATTAGCAGGCCATGCTGTTAATGGTACAGAAGGAGGTAGAAGAGAGAAATCAGGTAGGTTCCAAAGTGGAGGAGGGCCAGGCTAGGGACTGAAGATGGCAGGGTCTGGATTGGTGAACTTGAGAGGGGGAAAGTGTAAGAGAAGTAGAGACAAGAGAAAAAAGAGAGAGGAAGAGAGAAGCTTGTCAATGTGACATAGGGAGGCAATGTGACATGGTGGAAAGGGCTATGGCATGGGGGTCAGGAGGCTCACAGTGTCCCCCAAAATACTGTGTGATCGTGGGCAAAGGTCTCTCCTCTCCGGGAGGTGCCTTGCCTGTAAATGAAGGCTATGAGCCTTGATGATCTCTGGAGTCCCACCCGCCCTTGACATCCTAGGATCCTGACTGTGTGTTGCCACTGAGTCTTGAAACACAGGATCTGACCCCAGACCCACTGTCATGGGGCACAGACTTGCACATCAAGAGCAGACAGGGGCCAGCAGCCAAACCCTGACAGAACACATTTGACAGTGCGCACCCGAGGGCTGGCCCCAGTTATACACTGGGAGTCGTCCATGAATCCCTCTGCTCCACACATCTGTGCTATAAGCATGTGAAGACTTGCTACAGTGGGTCTCGTCCTGTGGAAGCTGGAACACCGGGGTGAAGGAATCAAGGTGGAATTGTGGACCCACGGGGAAGGAATAGGATATGCCCACCACTAGCTAAAATCCTAGACCCAGTTCATCTTCAGGAAAGAGGAAGGGAATGGGGGTCCTTGACGAAGGGGCAGGGAAAACCTCCTGGGACTAACAGTGGGGTTGTCAGGACTAGAATAAGTGGCCTGCCAAATTAGAGAACATTTGGGGCACAAGAATGGTCCCCAATCTAGACAGCACTGCACCCACATAGAGAGTACATTCCAGACCATGAGCAAAGGGGACACCCTCCCTGGGGTGTCTATGGTACAACACAGATGCTGCTGGAGGGCTCAGAGCCAGCTGGGGGCAGAAAGTGCATGACTAGAGACTGTGGACACATGTATGTGTGTACACACATACACACGCACACACCCACACACGCACACACACGCACCTGCATAAAGACCCCCCAAATCAGATCGTCTTTCTCCCTACCTCCAGACTGAGCCCTTCATACTGCTCTCCCTCTCCAGAAAACATGCCCTTCACGTGACCATGGCATGGAAGTCTGAAGGTCTTGCCGTCTCACCTTGCTCCCTTTTGCTGTAGCTCTGATGCATTTGCTTCCTTTCTGACTCAAGATGTACCAAACAGAAACAGGCCCACCCACCTCTGCATGGCTGACTTCCACCCTCTGGAACATGAACTCACCTCTTATCATTCTTGCCTGTTCGACATCCAACTCTTGCCCTGAAGAGCCCTGTCTTGTTCATCACTGAACATTAAATGAAGAAATGAGTGAGCACTTGGAAGCCCTCATGGTCCTCCAGTGGCCTGCCTCACTGAACCTCAAGATTTTATCTCAGAGCTAGGGAGTTGGGTGCAAGAGCACCAGCCCCTCTGCTTACCAGCTGTGAAAACTTAGTCTGAGTTTCCATATCTACAAGGTCACGGTGAAGATTCCAAGAGAACTGCTTACAAAGCCCTTAGCATAGAACAGGACACTGAATAAGCCCTCAATGAAGAATGCTACACTTATTATTAACATGTGACCTTAAATTTAACTCCCCCTTCCCTTATCCCACCATCCCATCTCTTGAGTAGGAAGTCCTTCTTGAAGTCTAATCTTAAGCCTTCGTGCTATGGCACGATCCAGGGTTCCACCTTCGTTGGAGTCTGGGGCCTGAGGTGGATGAGACCACACTGGATGGTTGGAAGAGCCGCCTCTCTGGAAAGGGACGAAGCCAGGAGGAAGATTACAGAGGCGCCAGGCCCAGGGCTCTACCATGCACCTGCCGAGGCTCCACTGGAGATCGGGGGCCCGCCAACTTACCCCACCCCATGACCTCATGGCTGCGTTTGCCAGGCGCTGGCTCAGGCAGTAGGTGCTGACAGCAAAGGCTGGGCACAGAGCCCAAGAACAAGGTTCAAGGACCAACAACGAAGCCGACCTCACAGGGCTCAGACTCGAGGTCCCTCTGGCCTCTATGTGCGACCTTTGGCTAGTGACCCACTGTCTCAGCTCCTCCTCCCAGGCCCCTTCATGCTGCCCAATAGCCTCCGTCCCACTGCCCACCCCTCCCCAAAGGACAATGGATACGGGGAGGAGAGACTCCCTCTTCTGTCTTAAGGGTCAGTCCCTCTTCTCGCATCTCTTTCAGTGTCTTTCTACTCCGAACTGCTGGCCCTGAATGATGATGCTGTTTCAAAGCATAGAGAGTTTGCTGTCATTCCTGTGGCTGCTGCAGACACGCATCTAAATGCCAGTCATAAAGTGACTATGAATCCCCAAATAGGTGCTTCTGTCCCAGTTTCAGGGCGTCCCTTTAGGTGAGAACAGACCAGGAGTCAACCCCAGTCCCATAGTTCTCCCATGTCTTGATCCTTAACCCCTCCTTCCCCAGCCCACTCCTGGATGCCTTTCCCAGATGCTACCCTCTCCCCAGCACAAAACTCGACCGCAGCGGGCAAGAGAGCCCAGCACCCAGCCCTGGTTGGACAGGCTGCAGCTCCTGGAATGCAGCACAGGAGACCTGGTGGGAACCCCGGGCCTCGGCCCTTGTGCTCCCAGGGATGAACAGACATCTGCGTCTGGGGGTTCAGTCAGAAGCCCTGCTGGACCACAAGGGCTCCATTTGCCTCCTGATTCAAAGGCTAAGCCCTCAGCTTGGGCCTAGAGCTCTGTCCCTGGGGGTGCTCTGTCTGCTCCCCCTCACACTCTCATCTCAGCCAGCCTCCTTACACAGTCCTCTCACTCCCCAGCACGGAGCCCCCACCCATCCTCTACCCCATCCTGCTTCTCAGCTCTGCTTCATGGCCCACCCCTCCTACAGGAAGCCACCCAGCATCTGCCCCTCTCCCGCCCCAACCACCACCCAGTCCCCAAGCTGGGTCTGCTGCTCCCACCTTGGACGGTGGCCTGGGATGCACCTGTCTCTCCCACTTTCCAGGGAGCACCTTGAAAACCAGGGCAGGGCCTCTTTCTCAAATCCCGGGTCTACCCCTTCACCACCACACTCACACACACTCTGTCCTCCCCTCCCAACTCCTGGCCCTCCAGTTCCTCTCTGCAAAGGAAGAAGGTAGACCGAGGGCACATCCTGTTCAGCAGCTCTGTGAATCTTGCCACTGTCCTAGGCCCAGCCTCAGCCCCAAAGCAACCAAGCACAGGACTGTGGGCCTGCCATCCTCCCTTTTGGCACCCTGACCCCCTGAGAGGGAGGCAACAGACCTTATTATCATTCCCCTCCGTTTCTCAGAATCCCCATCTGCACCCCCAGTGGCCCTGCACTCCCCCTCTTTCCCCAGACACCCCACAGAGCAGATGCCTGGATGGGCCATAGGCCAAACCGGACCAAACTCCTTGGAGAGGAGGACCTGGCTCAAGACGGCACCACATTTCCATGTCATTTCCAAGTGGCACCAAGAGGGCTAGGCAGGCGGGTTGGACAATCCCCACCCAGGAAGCAGGGCAAATTCCCAGGATACCAGGTCACTGAGCCAGGGCTCTGGGAGATGGCTCAGAAATGCTGCCGCTGGGATGCTAGGTGCCGGCTGCTCCCCTGCCTTACCGCACCCCAAGGAAAGCCTGTCCCTCTTCAACCTGGCCCACACCCCACTGTGCCAGAAAGCCTTCTCTGGCCAACCTCACCCAGTTCATAGCACCACTTATCCCGCGTCCCCTCAGCACTTAGATCCAGAGTTTTCCCTGTATTTCTGTGTCCTTGTTTATGTGTTGCTTTACAAATGTTCTCATAAAGCCACATCTTTCATGGTCATTGCTCATTGTGAGAGTCCCCAGTGTTAATTAAACCCATTTTGCTGGAGGATTAGGCTCTGCCTTTAAGGAATACCAAGGAGGCTTTGAAATCTAAGTCACATCTTGCTTCCTGCAATTTATTTTCTTCTTGATAATCAAGCCATCTCACTGAAGAAACTCCCGACAATGAGCAGTGTCTCCTCATGTTCTAGTTTTTGTCTTGACTGCCAGGGAGGCCCTAGATCAGGTAGTATGGGGCAGGAATCTCTGGGGGTTAACTGGAAGAGGTCAGCTTCTTCTCAAGGGAAGCTTCTCCCCTTGGAACACTGCAAACCCTTCCAAGACCAAGTTCCTTCTTCCTGGCCTCTGAAACCAGACTGAGTGCCAATGCTGTGCTTCCACCGGCCTACCCGACCTTCCCTTCAGACCTTGGAGAGATGGACCTGAGGTTGAACCTCAACTCTAGCTCTTATTACTTGCGTGGACTTACTTAAGTGCCCACATGTGTGAAATGCTCACAGTAAGAACATTTGAAGAAGGCGGTAAAGGCTGGAGTTGATATTATGCAAATCACCCTGAAGCAGGTGCTGTTGCATCCTCATTTTGCAGAGGATGCTGCAAGTCACTTCAAGGTCACACAGCTAGTTCCAGGGGGTGTATTCGTTAACCCCGAAGACCTTCAGGGAGTCCCTACTGAACCAGGTGGAGTACTAGGCTTATCTGCCTATCTAGATAAACCTACGGTAGGAGGAGGCAGGCCTGTAATGGGAAACACTAATAGGATGGAGTAGGTTCGAAGCTGTGAGAGAGTCTGAACGAATTGCTGTGGACTCACAGAAAGGGGCCAGCGGCCCCTCCTCAGCTCTTCCTTCTGAGTCCAGGGGCAATTTTAACTTCATTTCAATCATAAAAGACATGTTGGCAGGGTCAGCGAATGAGACTTCAGTGGTGGGACTCCACCAAGGGTGGCTTGTCCTGGACCCTGTGAACTGGACTGTCCCCGATGCCCTCGCGCCCCCTCCAGGGGTGGCCCCAGACCAGAGCAAGCCTAGGCAGCAACCCTCCAGCCCCACCAGAGACAGAGGGCAAGACCCAGACCCAGGGCTCCTACCCTGAAATGCCATCAGCCAGCTGAACTGTCCAGCCCACCCAGGGCACCCCGAGGGCTTTCAGGGGAGGGTGGGATTTATGCTTCTCCCTACCCCCACTGTGTTGAGCTTGTCAACATCTCTCTGGCCACAGGCCCAGAGTGCTCCTGTGGCTCCTAAATGATGGGGCAGGAGCCAGGTCATTAGGCAGGGGAAACTGTCATTAGTGCAGGTGATGCCACCGCTGCACAGACAATGGCAAACAGTCATTAGTGGCTGTGTCACAGGGGTGAGGCAATGCTGGCAGGGTGCAGGGAGCCACTGCTCACATACGTGGGGCTGGAGGAGCACACGCACTCGCACATCACACATTCTCACGCACAGAAGAGAAAGTAGACACACACACATTCATATACTCACAAACAGAAGTGTGAGTAGACACACTCACATACTCACACGGGTGTGAGTAAACACACACTTGCACACAAACACAGCCACACGTGGGACATCAGTGGGCATGGTAGCACCCGTAATGCTCACTTGTTCACACATAGGGTATGAGCAGATATGCTCACACACTCCATGTTCACACACGTTCACATACAGGGTGTGAGTAGGCACATTCACATTTTCACTCACAGGGGCATAAGCAGACGTGCTCACAGGATCACATGTTCACACCTACAGGAGGATGAGGGGACATACTTGCACACTCACATGTGAACACAGGTATGAGGAGGCACTCACACACGTGTTGGCACAGTCACACAGATGTGACTAGACACACTCACACATTCACACACACAGGGCACAAGAGACAGGTGTTCACAAACTTACATATTCAGGGTGTGAGCAGACACTCATGCATGCACATACACCAGGGGCATAAGTGGGCACACTCGTACACACACTCATACAGGGGTGTGAGTAGACACACATTCACACACTTGTATGCTCACACATTCACACACTCACACACAGAGGCTGAACAGACACACTGCCCAAAGAGGCCCACAGGATCTGACACACCCCACACACACACCAGAGGGGTGGGACCCCTGGATCCTCCCACAACCAACCAGACACACAGATATCTCCCCTGCCCTGAGAGAGACAGACACACAGACCACCAGGGGCCCTAGAGCAGAGAGGCTCTCAGACACACACACCCTCCCATCTCACCCACTTCCTGCTTCAGAGGACCAGCCCCCAGGAAAAAGAAACCATGCCAAGTGCAGACGCAGGCAGGCTGTGTGTGCCCTAAGGGTAGAGACCATATCAGTTTTAACACTGTCGCCTCCTCCAAACTCCCAGCCCTAATGGCTAGCACATGCACTGCCTCCCTTGTACTCCCTAAGAAATGGGCTGCCGTAGGCATGTTTCTAAGGACTCCTGAGCCCCCCAGTAGGGGAGAGACAGAACGGACAGGCTGGGATCAGACAAAGAGAGCACCTGAAATCTAGCCTCTGTCCCAGTTTTTAATCTTCTGTCCCACCCTCCTCACCAATAGGCTTTCACGTGTCAAGCTGTGGGGCCTGACTTTCCGTTCAGAAAATGTGGGCAGGGGACAGGAAGACAGACAGCCTAGCGTGGTGGACAGAGCTGAGTCATCAGATGAGTAAGGCAGAAGGGAGCAGACTGGAGGCTGAGTCCCAGGTTCAGACCCTAGCTCTGCATCTAGCTGGGTATATTAGTTTCCTGTTGCTGCTGTAACAAATCACCGTGAACTTAGTGGTTTAAAACAACACAATTTCATTATCTTACAATTTAGAGATCTAAAGTCGAAAATGGGTCTGAATGGGCTGAAATCAAGGTGCCAACAGGGCTGTGCTCCTTCTGAAGGTACTAGAAGATCACTTTCCCACCTTTTCCAGCTTCTAGAAGTCACCTGCCTTCCTTGCCAGCAATAGCCAGTCAAGACTTCACATCACGTCACTCGTCTGCCTCCCTCTTCCATATTTAAAGGACCCTTGTGATTACATCGGGCCCACCCGAATAATTCAGGATCATCTCTCCATCTCAAGACCCTTAACTTAATCACATTAGCAAAGTCCCTTTTGCCATATAAGGTAACATATTCACAGGTTCTGGGGATTAGGACATGGACATTTTGGGGTGTCCATTATTCTGCTCCCCACACGGGGTAACCTTAGACGAGTCATTTAACCTCCCAGAGTCTCAGCATCTTCAACTGGAATCTAGAAATAACTCCCACCACACTGGTGATCACGGGGATTTAGAAAGCCACCTGAACACAGAACACGGCACCTCATACTTGGGCGGCGAGCGAGAAGTGTCCTGGGTTAACAGTACAGCCCTTGCTCTTTTCAGCTTCCTGAGGATAGAGGAGGAACCCCATGTGGCAGGAGAAAGGGGGCTGAGGGACTGCAGAAGGGGTATCTGTGGGCTTGATGGTTGGGGTAAAGACTGGTAGGGGGTGTGCGTGTCTGTGAGGCTCCCTGGATCTGGGAAGCAGTGAGGCCCTGGCATGAGGGGAGCTGTCCACATGCCTATGGTCACACACACCTGCAGTGACCTGGGCTAAGGAAGCAGGGTGGGGCCAGGGCGTGCTGCTCCTGCTTACTCCTATCTTCCTCTCCCTCATCTGCTGCCACATGTTTGCAGGGCCCCAGACTAGGCTGCTATTACCCTGCTAAGTGCAGACTACAGAACGATGACCTAGGAAGATAAACCCTATGTAGAGGAATCACCCTCTGGAAAACATTCATTAGTCCCCAATCTCCCCCAGTGTTGTTTGTCCACTCAGGAGGCAACAATGGCATCGCAGAGAGGAGCTGAGGTCGTCAGATTTTTACTGGCCGGTCCTGCTCCATCCAGAGCCCAGGACGGGGGGCTCTGTCCTGAGCCTGCCCGTCTCCCCATTGGCCCAGCCCTGAGCGCCCTGCTCCCTCTATTCCTCACCTCACCCATCATCACTACCCCTCCCTGACCCATCCCCACCCCAGCTCTTCTCCCATCTCCCAGTCCTTAGCTCCCCCTTGCTTCTCTCAGAATCTCAGAGCTTAACTATGGGCTAAGATTCTAATCGACAGGAGGATGCCCGGGCTGGGGGCTGTGTTTAGAGGCAGGAAATCTGGGTACAAATCCCACACCTCTGCAAAATGGAGGTGCAGGGTGCCTGCTGAGCAGCGTTGGGGAGATGAAATTGGGTCACCTGCGTGAGCGCAGTTTGTAAGCCTGGGTACTAATTTGGGTTATGGAGAACCATGGAAGGACTTCCTCCTGCTTTTGCTCCTAAGACACAGTGGGCAGGGCTGGCCTCAGACTGGCCTTTCACAGGTGGCCGCCTTAGAGACTCCCCACATCTTGCTACATCAGGAGATCCCCAACAGGTGCTGGAGGAAGGAAATAGAAGGATGGGGAGGGAGAAGACATAGCTCCCTGTACAGGGTAGATCCCAATAAATGGGTGCTGAGTGCATAAAGTTCCACCACTGAGCTCCTACTGTATGCCGGCACCATGCTCGGTGCTAGGGATACAAAGATGAACAAACCGTTAGCCACCATAGCTCAAGCTTTTGTTCTCAAGATCCATCCTGAGAGCCTCCTGTGTGCTCTGTATGAGAAC